GGGGGAAAACATACCCCCAAAATTAAGCAAGCAAGTGGACTTTAGATTTGCTAAATTTTCTGGCAGAACCTCTAATATAACCTGCAAAATGCTCCACGATCTAAAATATGCTTCTGTCTGTGGAAGGGACTGATACCTCCAAAGGAGCGTTGTCATGTCACTGAGTCTGATTTTATAGAGAAATTTCAAAATTGGGCTTTCTAACCCACAGTATCCAACTACGGTTTTTCCTTCTTTTTCCTCTCCTCCCTGGCATGTCTCGGAATGAATCACTGGGCTGCTCTGTCCCAGTCCAGCGTAAGCAGGAGATCAAATGGTCAAAAGGTTATGGGAAGGAGGCTGGCCGGCCAGGCCATAATCTCCATAAGGACATAGAAGTACTGCTTCACATCAAAAAATTAGACCTTCCGGCCCCTAAAATTCCCTGAGACTGAGTCGATTTGTTTTTTCTAATTTAGAGGCCGGGGTGGTAATTCACCCCAGTCCCCAGTTCCCCTGTGGAGTGGACTGGGGAGTGGATTTAGCAGAAAAATTCTGGGGCAAGTGGAGTGTCCAGGAGGCTGGAGGTTGGAACAAGAGGTAAGAAGCGGATTGGATTTGTAAGGAAAGTGGGGTAATTGAAGTGACTTTCCGGATTCTAAACATAGCCTAAACAAGAAAACCGGGTTTCTCAGAAGGGCCCCCCTAAGAAATTCCGTCGGCTCCGGCCAGTCTAGCTTTGAAACTCCTAAGGCGTCAACAGGGAGCGGCTGCCTGGGTTTGGCTCCTCTCTCCTCATTAGGCAGCAGGGCGGGGTGGAGCGCAGGGTGCGGGCGGCCCTCCTGAGCGCCAGCCCTGCTCGCTGCCTCCGCCGGCGCCCAGCATCTGCCTGCGCCGCCTGCCCAGAATAGAACGTCTCATTGTGATGGATTAATCCTTTGGCTCCGGTCCTGCCCGGGTCACCAGCTCAGCCTGCGCCCGCCGAGTGCTGGGGGGTGGACAAAGGGCACTTTAATCATTCAGCACATTCCCTCTTCTCTCCTGTAGAAGGGCCCTCTCCATTTGCTCGGCCCTCGTATAGAAAACGGGATGGACTTGCAGGTGGCGCGCCTCCAACACGGAGACTGTGTGCTTCCTTTTAAGTGGTTCATGGACTCCTGGGGCGCAGAAGCAAATTAAGGGAGATCTTTTCCTTTCTCTGATCTCTCTGGAATATTTAATTTCTACTTCTTGTTTAACTTCTCTGTATTTAATTTCCTCATCTGTAAAATGGGGATAATGATTTTACTTACCTCATAGGATCAATACTATGGTTGAGTTAATACACATAAGGTGCTTTCAACTTCACAAAAGGACAAATATTGTAGCAGTCCCCTTATATAAGTATCTAGGGTCGTCAAATTCGCAGAGAAATAGAAGGTGTTTGCAAGGGCCCCGGGGGAAGAAGAAAATAGGAATTATTGTTTAATGGGTGCAGAGTTTCAGTTTGGGAAGATAAAAAGGTTTGGAAATGGAGAGTGGTGATGGTTGTACAAGGTGAATGTACTTAATCCACTGAACTGTACATTTAAAAATAGTAAGATGGCAGAAGGTTATGTGTATTTTTTCACAATGAAACAAATACACACGCACACACACGAAGGGCCAGGTATATAATAGATGCTATATAAAGGTTGGCTATTGTTTATTATTATTATTATTCATCTTAGATACATGTTATTTCCCACTTCATTTTATAAGTATTTGTGTCTATATATTTTCTCCCCAAAAAAGCCTCTTGTTCCTGCATAAGAGCTCCTGTGCCTCACTTAACATAGCAATCTGATCATGGGCAGCTCCAATCCACGCACACAAAATGAATAAATGAATGAATGAGTGAGTGAGTGAATGTGTTGGACCAGAAAATAGAATATCCCAAAGTAACTGATGTAGCCCTTAACCTTCTGATTGATAGAGGAGACAGTGCCCTCCATCAGCGGCTAGTCCTGAAAATAGCCCAGACAAGACACTTGGAAAGGCTCCAACAGCGTCATTCTGATTTCTGGCTCTATGATTTTCTTCTTGGTGGGTTGGTTCTGAAGCTTAGGAATGATCAAGGTCAACCTAAGGACCCACCTCAGGGTCATTTTGTGTTTGGAGGACAGTTTGGAGACTGAGTCCAAACAGAAGGTACCCCCAAGAGTTTGGGCTCACCTCAGGGTGGTCTTGAGGTTCCATTCAATATTCACTGATACTAGGCTCCTAAGGCTGGTCCTTAAGTGACCGAGCTTCTGAGGAAGAAGCAGGGAGCTATGCGTCCTACCACTCATGACAACATTCACCCTTTCAGCATGGAGCCCTTTCTCCTTTCCTTACTGTCCTGTCCCACCCCATCTGTTGTGAGTAAGCAGGAGAGAGCCAGTCTGTAGCCTTCAGTAAATGTTGCAAACCCAACTGTGTTGAGTTAAGAGACATTATAAAAATGACCCATGTTACAAACCCAACTGTGCTGAGTTAAGAGACATTATATAAACGACCTAGGAATCACCTGAAAGAAATGGAGAGCTCTGGGAAGGAGTGAATGCAGCTTGTAAGAAGGAGAGGGAGCCGTCTGGGACCAAGTGCACCCAAACTCTTGTGTCTCTCACGGTAAGTATTGGGCTATTTTTGTGTGGAATATTTTCACAGGCTCATTGAGGGTGTGAGGCTTCCTCATAAAGCAACAGTTCACCTTGCGGAAGACTAAAGTTAATTTTTGGGGACCTTAAACAACCTTTGGCCCTGGCCCAGGAGGCTGGGGAAAGAGGAGGAGTTGAGTGACGCTGGGCAGCAGGAATGAAAAGCCACAAAGCAGATGATTAAAATGGTGGCTGAAAAGGGCAGGGAGAAACGATGAGCCAAAGGCTTGAAGATTGTGAGAGAGCATCTAGTGCTGCTGGAGAAGGTCAGGGGAACAGAGCACATGTTTAGGCTCTGGTTCCAACCCTCCTATTGACCTGGATAGTCTCTGCCCTAGACTGACCTCCCGTTTCACACACTTTGGTCTTATAAAGTGGGTTTGGTTTAAATGCCCAGCCAGTTAGAGATTACAGATGAGTCACTATGTCTGAAGGGTTTTATACCCTTTGTGCCACCTTGGGAAGGCACATTCTGCTGAGTAGGCCCAAATGCAGCAGGTGACAAGTCACCTTGTCAGCCAAAGGCTCCCCTTTGAAGACACCCCATGGGGCCACTGCAGGGACAAGAGCAGGGCGGTATGTAAGAGCTTGGAATGTGACCCTCATCTGAGCTGCTGTCACTTTAGCTCCTGTGGATAGGATTAGATGCAAAGGTACTGCTCTCACAGCGGTCCTGAACCTGTTTGGGCTCTCAAGATTATCTTTATACACACAAATAAGCCCTCCACTGCCTCTGCACCCCCCCCCCCCCCCCCCCCCCCCCCCCCCCCCCCCCACAGCAAGCACCTGGGACTAGCTTATGAAGCCAGGCCTGGGACCTGATGGGGCTTTGTTCCAGAGGAGGATGGAATTGCCTGCTAGAAATAGCAAGCTGCTGCTTTCAGCAATGGGGCTGGGGTACACAATCCATGTCCATTTTGTATGCAGACAGAAACTTGAAATAAAAACAATTCAAATAAAGGTATTTGACAAAGAAGCTAAAGCAAGGAGAGGCAGACTGGCTCAGTGCCCAGAGAATTGAGAAGCAGTCATTTCTAAATCCAGCTCTGCTGTTGGTGACCTTGAACAAATTATTTGTCCTGTTTCTCCATTTCTCTAAGGTTAAATCAAGAACTATAATTCTGACCAGCTAACCAGCCAAAGTTTAATTGGGGGAAAGAGAGAGAGAGAGAGAAAGTGAAAGTTAATAAAATTGTTTGCCTATATACAAAGTACAAAATGTTAAGGAATGCAATAAAGCCTTCTTCGTGACATTTGGCTATGTACTTTGTAACTTCCTGTCTCTATCCCATACCTTCAGGCCGAGTGCTCTCATTAATTCAAGCTGAGATACACCCCCCCCAACACTGAGCACCCCGCAATGCTGCCTGTCACAGTGAAAATGGTGTAAGAAAATAGAGTATACAACCTCACATACCCCAGCTCAAGCTAATCAGGCAAGTCTTTAGGATGGACACTCTGTGGAGTAAGAGTCCAGGATTATCATTCATAAACATCTGTGATTCAGGTTTTTTATTTTGCTCAGGTTTCTTAGAGATTTTTCTCTCCTCATACTCCTGCAACTGCAGTATCTGCATAAAAATAAAAATTTCACCATTTTATTGACATTGAATTTATCTAAGGACTAACCATTTTGGAATACGGATCTGAAAATACTCAATTATTCTGCACTTGACAGAGGCAGAAATAATGGTTTCTCCTGAACCTCATAGTCTACACAAGGGGATTGTGCATTACAACCCAGCTTTAATTTATTCCAAAACATTTTTATCTATGAATCTCTCCTTAATGGCTCACATTGGATGTTTGTCAGGATGGGGTGTGAGAGAGAGGATGAAAGATTTGCATAGAATCTATAAATTCTATCAAGGAGTGGGGTAAAGAATGTCATTGATATAAAATTTTCATCTATGTCTGCTAGCCAATTTGTTTATAGAATGAAACCTAGCCTTTCTGTTCAGTGCTCTACAGAGAGATTAATCTAGTATGTTTTTGGTTTACTTTGGGTCCATGCTCTAAAACTTCATGGCTAGATGCTTTGAAAAGAAATGGGTTGATTTCTCTCTAACCATTGTAGTTATTCTCATTGACGTCAATATTCTGCATATATGTGTTATTTTCTTCAGGATTTTCATATGAATGTCTAACAAGGTGACCAGGAATAATAAGCTCTTGACATTTACCTCCCCGTCTCAAACAGAACCTAGTTATTCCCTGACACCAGCTTTCCTTGTCAGGAGAGCCAACAGAGCCTGAAAGCAAGGACATTTGAGACTTTGCAGATTAGCAGAGCTGAGGAGTTTGTACGTGTATCTTTAAAATAGCTGAGGTGTTAAGCAGGGGTCAATTTTCATGCAGGACATTTATGGTGAAGAGTCTGGTTACTCTCGTTGCTTATTTACGTATAATAATTAACTATCGCAAAACTTGGTCCCGATGTATTTCAGAGGCTATATGGAAGTCAACACCACCTCAGAGGGAGCAGTTGTACAAACATGCAAGTGTTTATGCATGTGTGTACACACACACATCATCTAAACACCTTCTTCAAGTTTACTCTGCCTTCCAATAATAACTTGGAGAAATTCAGAAGAGCTGGCAGATTCAAACATCCAAAGACTTCATGTAGAAATTAGGCTGTGTGCTTACAAAAGGATTTTCTTCAGCCGCTTTTGCCCATTTGTGCCTAGCTTAGCATGGGGCTGCCCTAGATGGAACCAAGAACCGTGTTTCTTTCAGCCTTCCTCATTTCCTTTCTGGACCTCCTTGTCTCTCATTACTCATTTTTCCTCCGAGGTCATGCTATCCATGGCCCTATTCCAAATACCCAGAGCTCCCTTATGGAACTGAGGCCAAAAGCAAGCTGAAGAAGCCATGACCAGTGAGATCTTAGGGGTCATGGTGGGTGGTAGTTGAAAGGTTGTATATGTTAAATGAGAAGCCTAAAAAGGTGGAATTTAGAGGAACTATATTTCTAAGTCTGGGCTTGCAGGTGTCTTGGCAGGATGGGGGTGGAGGAAGAGGGATATGACTGTTTCGGAAGGAGGGGCGTCTTCTTCCCAGCACCCTCAAAAACACACCACATGTGTCATCTTCTATTCTTCTCCCTCACAAAGCCACTGCTTGGCCATTCAAATGAAAGGCAATTTGGGTGTTTTAAAAAACTAGGTTTCATTTTATATTGCTTGATTCTTTCTCAGAAGTTGTTCCTAGACTTGTAAACATGTTTATCGGTAAACATTAGACATACTTTTAGCAACAAGCTGTCTGGTAAACCTTTCCAGGGTTTCTGGCAGATCTGCTCGGCACAGCCCATTTCTGCTCTGGTTTCTTTGTTTCTTTTTGTTTTTTAACTCTTTCATTGTCCTCCAGGAAACCTACCTGGTCCTACCGATCACATTACTGCCTCTCCTGGGCAATCTGGGTCAAATAATCAAACACTCCATGTCAAATGGAAAATGCACGCAAGTACACTCAACACAATGATCTGCACATGAGAACTTCCAACATGCCGGGGACCGTGAGGTTTCTGCCTGAGGAACAGTAGGGTCTTGTTCTGAAAGATGAGGGACAGCAGCATGGTTATCAGGGAGGGCTGAAGGGCAGAAAACACCATGTACTTTCCAGTGTCTGTCCAAGCAGTCCTGGCAGCTGGACAGGGCAGAGATGGCTGGAGGCAGTGAGGGCACGTCTGTGCACCAGCTCTGAGCCTCCTGAGCCACAGAAACAGTTCAGTTGCGAGGAAACATGTCAGTCTGTACATGCGTGACTTCCATCACTCATTTACAAAAAGCACAGTTCTCAGAAATAATTGTTATGCATATTTAACTGTTCAGACTAGAGCTGGTTTTTATACTCAGTCAATTCAGAGGGAGAGTAGAAACGTGCTGAATAACAGGGGTTAAGATATGAATTAATTCATGTTGCTGATCATGTTTTGATCTGGCAAACACTGGCCAGCATTGTTGGTCTGAAAAATTGACGGACAGGTCTCAGGCTCTTATTGGAGGTATTTCATTGGATGCAGGCTTTGCCACCTTTCCTGTAGTTTAACTTAAACTCTTTTTTACCCTGGGTTCTTTGAATAAACTCAACCCATTTCTATGAAGTATTCTGCATGGATTAATCCATCAAGTTAACTCTGTCTGGTTAACCTGTTTGTCCTTCACTTTCCTTCCCACATAGAGTGGTGTTATTTCTCTAACACCACTTAGATGGTAGAACTTGGACAGCATTGTTTGCTGTTACTGTGTGTTGGTTGAAAACCATGTTTCAAGAGGCCCCATATAATGTAGCTCATGGAGCCTAAATTCTGGTTTGACTTCTGTCCTTCTGTCTGGTTTGAGCAAACCTCTGAACACATTTTTCTGTCTCAGTTTTTCTGTATCTGAGATGAGAGTGTTATTTGTCTTCCTCTCTCAGGAATGCTGTAAGGTAAGGAGAGAAGGAAGTGAAGAAGTGCTGAGGCTTTGACACTAAGGTCCTCCAAGAAGGTGACATTGGTCGCCAGAGAAAGTCACTTTGATTAGGAGACATGGGTCCTGGCTTTAATCCCATCTATATAGTCTTTTCTAAGGCCAGAGGGATCAAGCAGCCTGGACTTGGATGTGACATAAACGTATTCTTTTATTGCACAAGCTATACTGCCAGTAGATTCTTGATTTCTTTTTCATCACAGGATCCCTAATGCCTGGCATAGAGGAGGTGCTCAATAAACACTTGTGGAATAATTGGCCAACTAACAGATTGACAATACCCTTTTCTGGACTTCAAGTGCAGCACACTATGTGCAGTAGACACTTAATGAATGTTCGCCTGATGATGTGCTATTATGTTTAACCATCTTTGTACAGTATTTGGAGCCTGCTGTCAACTGCTTTAGCATTGCATTGTCCTTAAGATAAATAAGGGGTGGTTCTCAGGGCTACCCACAACAGCACCCTATTAGCGAAGAGGGTGTAGATATCTACAAAGTGCGGTGACAGGGAGTGGCATTCTGTGGCTTTACTTGGAAAGCCCAAGACATTTTGGAAGTTGCCAGACAGTCCTTGTTGACTCTAAAGAATGAATGGATCTATTCTTTCAATGTATCACTGGGCAGATAAGCCTAACACAGCCATATCTAGTTATACCAAATCAAGATACTCAATGAGGTCCTAATCTTCAATATTTATTCAAAAGACTCATAACCACATTGACACTTGTTTCTAAGTCTTTCTCCACGTTGCACGGTGAGGGAGCATATCTTATTTACTCTATAGCTCCAGGTTTCCACAGCACCTGCAGGGGGCAGAGGCTGCAGGTCTGCATACCACGCATGTGCTTTACCTGAGATGTTCCATGCCTTTGATCCTCTCTCATCTGGGAGTTTTTATGTATATTTGACCAACACTTATCAAGGAAGTCCTAATACATAAACTGCCCCATGTCTGTATCTGGTTGCAAGTATGGCCATGCTGTCTCCCCTTTTCATTTGACAAAAATGCATTGTATGGAAATTAGTATTAAAGGGGTTGCTTCCAAATTCACTAGCCTCTCTTAAGGTAAATGATAACGGATCATAGAGGTAGAGATTGGGGTAAGCAGAAAAGACTCCAAGTTTAAGGACATTATCAGGAAATGAAGGGGGGAAAGTAACATGAAAATTGTGACAAAAGGCAAGGAGAAATTTGGACTAAATTCACATAAAGTCATGTGCATCTGAATGTGATGATTTATGAAAAGCTTAAGAATTTTAGTTTTAACCACCAGCTTATTGGAATAAATATTTTATAAGCCTCTTAAGAAGGTTATCGAAAGTCTGTGCCTCTTTCCAGCAAGGTGAGCACTGCTCGCCTGCATCTCTGTATTGGGATGGGCGAAAAGTCTAGCTTGCAAATGCTTCAGAGGAATGATTATTATCAAATTGCTGAAATAAAAGTGGATTTTCCAAAAGCCCCTCCTGCCCCCTCTGCTCCATCTGCTACATGTGCTCAGGGCATTGCATGGTTCAGCATTTAGAATACTTCAATCATTTGAGGGGAAAGTGACCTTCCCCCGCTTGGAAAACCTTGTGCTGTGACCTAATGAGGACATTCCATTGAGACTTGAGAGCTAGGAACGCTTTCTCCTCTGGGCTCTGATGTTCTCATGATGTTTGTGAACCAATTTGGCTCTTCCACGTCTGTGCATGCCTTCACAGATAATGGCCCATCAACAATGGAATTATAGACATTTAAAAAAAAATATGTGCCTATATAATGAAGAGGGTAATTCTGTAAACTACATCTGAAAATCAGTCTCATTACTGTTATGAAACATTGTATATTGAAATTACATTTGTCTTTTCTCTCCTTTGAGCTCATAAGTAAGTGCCTTGGAGTGAAACAAGTCCTTTTCCTGGTGTATGATAGCCTCCCCTCCTTTTTTCTATTTTTTCAAGCACCACTGAGCTCTAGCTTGTGTCAACTTAGTCCTAGATGCTAAGAGGAGCCTCCACATCTATCTCCTTGCCTCTAGTCTCTGTCCTTTCAAAAGGCAGCCTGAACACCTCCTATGTTAACCTCCCCAGTGCCCTGCTTTGACCAAATTCTCCCCTATTAGAGAACCTTCTATGATCCCATTGACTACTAACTCACATCCAGTTTCCAGAGCCCAGCACTTAACAGTCTTTCCAATAAATTCTCAACTTCCTTTTCTAGGCTCATGTCAGCTTACAGCCCACTTTTACTCCACACTGTCATCAAACAGAGGTACTTAACAATTTTCAGATAACAAGTATACTGTCCCTGCCATACACCTAATTCCCCATCTCCTTTTCCACCTTCTGAAGTCACAGCAGAGTTCATGTGCCCCTCTTCCACAAAGCCTTTCCGCTTGTCCCAGCAGTAAGAAAGCACTCCATCATCCAAAATCTATATTTTTTTTTGAGATTTGTTTATTTATTTATTTATTTATCTCACACTGTCATGCAGTCTGGAGTACAGTGGTGTGTTCACGGCTCAGTGCAGCCTTGATTTCTTGGGCTGAAGTGATTCTCCTGCCTCAGCCTCCCAAATAGCCGGGACTCCTGGCACGCACCAGCATGATCAGCTAATTTTTGTATTTTTTTGTAGAGGTGGGGTTTTGCCATGTTGCTGGTCTCGAACTTCTGGGCTCAAGTGATCCACCCACTTTGGCTTCCCAAAGTGCTGGAATTATAGGTGTGAGTTACTATGCCTAGCTAATATTTGAGTTTTAAAACATAACTTTCAAAATAATATATATTTATTCAGGAAAATAAAAATTATTTGAACTCCCATCCCCCAAAGATAACCTAGTCTCAGTAAAACATCTTGTTATACCCAATTCCCTACTTCCGGACTTTATTTATTTATTTATTTTTTAACATACATCTGCACAAACATTTTACACATTCCAGGTCACCTAATTGTCCATGGTTGGGTATCATTTTGAATAGCAGATATTATATAAGTGCAATGCAGCCTGTACTGGACAGTATTCTCCCCATGGGCCACAATTCTTTTCATCCCCCATAGCACTGAGTACAAAGTGATACTGAGTATAGTTTCTTGCAAAACAGAATAAGCGAATACACTTCCCTGAATACCAGGGAACAAACTCTCAATAAACTAATCCAATGACAATTAAGTGGCTGTCACAAAAAAATTGTATTTAGTGAACTACTTTTATTAGTTAATTGTGATGAGCTGTCCAGGCTTTGACTCTATAAGGTCGGAGGAGCCAATAAGCTAAGCCCAGCAATAATTTGAGTTGACTGCTAGGTACTTATTAGATTCCCAGACTTTCACTCTTCGTTTCTTAACAGTAGTGAGGATGGTGTAGGTGATATAGAGTCCTGGGTAGGAGTATATTTTGGAAACTCCTATTCCTGGTTTAGTGTAGTGTCCCAAATGAGGATGCAAGCTCCCATCTCCAAATCCTCCACAGCTCCCAGGGCAAAGTGTGGTTTTGTTGAGAAACTAAGGGTTTGGATATCTCAATGCCCACATTTTTAAAGGACCTGCCTGACTGTGGGTCCTGTTTTCTTATACCCCAGAAGCTGATCTCTACATCTAAAAGTGCGAATATCTTGTTTTTCAACTGTAGCTAATGTGATTGCTGGGTAGTTCTTCAGAAAACATCTTCCCAGTAGTGGAAGGGCTACTCAAGAGCTGAGCTGCCCAGTTCAGTTTTTCAGATGACCCGGGTGATGAGAACTGGACCAACCTGGGGAGCCAGCAGCCCGGGTGCCAGGCTGTTAGGTGAGGTGCTGCCCTGGCATTGGGTTGGGTGAGTGAGTCATTGCTGTCATTCCCCTTCTTAGGAGTCACAGAAAAAGGAAAGTAATGTGGCTCTCAGAGCCACTCTAAGCATTTCTTAGGAAGAGGAAGAAGACGCTGGAGTAGAACTGGGTGAAGTCTGGCAGTGCAGATTGAAAAGGAAGGCCTGAGACTCATGAACTGTAAAGATGCTGGTAGTGTTGTTTTTGTCCTTGTCGTTATTAGGCTTGCTTGTTTGTTTTGGAAATAGTACTTTGTTCCCTAAGTACTTCAAAGTAAAGTGTAGAAAAAAGGGCAATTCTGATTTATTTAAAGTGTGTGTTTATGGAGAGGAAAATGGAGAATGCATTTATCACAAACGAAAGGTTATTGTTGCCTGTTGGCGTGGGATGTTTTATGTTTCTTTTAATACATTTTTACATTACTGCCTTTGTTTTCTCAGTGACAAGTTGCACAGGCTGGAGGGTAGTGTTTATGCCCAGGTGTGATCATCGCACACTACCATCTTGAACTTACTCAAAAGTGAACTTATGACAAAAATCACAAAAAGAGTCTTCTTATGTTTAATAAGCATATCAACCATAATGGGGAAATTATGCAGAAATCTAGACAGGTAGCAAGAAGTGCTTAAAATTTAAGATCTAGTGCATTGTAGCTCTTCTTTATTGTAGATCACAGCTTCATATCGTTATTGTAGGTGTAACTGGTTCTCATAGTTAATATGGGTAAATTTGCAGCATCTAAAGCTAATGAGAAGATTAATTGAATAGGGAATTAGGATATTTTCTTTCTTTTCTTGGATTAATCTTTCTCCTTCTCCAGTGGATTCCCAAGGCAAAGATGCCAAAATAACCCACATTATCATTATCTGGGTTTTTTGGGTATTATCTAGGTATAAGAGGCTCCTTCAGGATGCTACATAAGCTGATGTCAAGGTGGATGAATTCCATGTCAAGTTGTGGGCACCCTCCTTCTTTTGAGGAGGGACTGAAGAGACAAATATTTGGTTACTATGTGAATAAATAAAGAAATCCAATTCTGATCTACTGAATGCTCTTCACTTACAATTTGGACTATCTCTAAGTACAGATAGGCTCTTCATTCATACCTAGTGGGGACCATATTGTGTTGTACATTTTCATCTGTAAAATGGGAATATAAAGATAGATTTATCTAAGATAAATGATTTTTTTGTGGGTCTTGAGAACATTGTCTCATTGTTTTAGCCATATCTTGTAGAGATGTTATTATTTAATAACAACAACAACAAAAAATCCCTGGAAGTGTTAAGCAAAGTTCCAAATAACCAAATGGAAAATATTCTTTTTTTTTTCTTTAGGAAGATACAATCTGATAATGGTTTGTTGTTGTTGTTGTTGTTGTTGTTGTTGTTTTTTGACAAATTTAAGTTGATCTAAATGAATTTCAGGTACAGGGACTCAGCTGTTGTTCTGGTTGAAGTGATTCTACAAAGGCTTGACATGCGCTGTAGGAAATTGCAACTGAAGCATTTGCCCAGGTGAGTCAGTGACTGCCTGTCAAGAAATGTTCTGTCTTTCTTTAGGAAAGGAAGGTGAGAAGATGTCTCCAGGATGAGAGTTTTTCTTCTCAGAGGCATTATAGGCAGGATACTATGTTTCATAGAAACTAGTTCACAAAATGAAGTGTTGTGTTCTCATTCATCAATCTGCTAATATTTGCTAAGTGACTCTCCTTGGTAAGAAACTCTATTTAGGGTCTGGCGCCGTGGCTTATGCCTGTAATCCTAACAGTTTGGGAGGTTAAAGTGGGAAGATTGTTTTGGCTCAGGAGCAACACAGTGAGACCTTGTCTTTACTATAAGAAAAAAAAATTAGCTGGGCATGGTGGCACATGCCTGTAGTCCCAACTACTCAGGAGGCTGAGGTGAGATGATCACCTAAGCCCAGGAGATCAAGGCTGCAATGAGCCATGATCCTCCTACTGCAGCCTGGGTAACAGAGTGAGACCCTGTGTCAAAAAAAAAAGGAAAGAAACTCTATATGGTGTTATATGTATCTGTTTGTTGGTTGAAAAGCATGTCCATGGGCTCCATATAAAGTAGCTTATAGAGTCTGGAATTTCAGTTTGGCCTCTGCTCTTCTATGTGACTTGAAAAGAACCTCTTCTCCTTTCTCTGTCTCAGTTCTCCCCTACCTGAGATGAGTTGCTGTTTGTCTCTTTCTCTCAAGGATGTTGTCAGGTAGGGAGGGAAGGAAGTAGGAAAATGATGAGTCTATAACATTAAGTTCTTCCAAGAAGATGATGTAGGTTGCAGGCAAAAAGTCACTTTGAGTGGGAGACATGGGCCATCACTTTAATCCCATCCATACAGCTTCCTCTAAGGCAGGAAGGCCCATGCAACCTGGACTTGGATGTGGTGTGAAAGTGGCCTTGCATTACTCAAGCTGTACTGCTGATGTGTTTGCCACATGCCATTTTCTTCATCACAGGATTCCTAGTGCCTGGCAGATGTTCAAATATACTTTTTGAATATTTGACCAAATGAACGAAAATAACCTTTTTTTGGACTTCAAGTGTAGTGCCCTGTGTGTGACGGACACTGAATAATACATGGTTGATGATATGCTGTTCTATTTCAACCTACCTGACATACAGAATTCAGAGCCTGTTGTTAACTGCATTAGTACCGCATTGTCCTTAAGATGAATGAGGGAGAGTGCTCAGAGCTGCACACACCAGCACCCCATTAGCATTGAGGGTGCGATATCTGTGCAGTGCAGTGACAGGAAGTAGCATTCTGTGGCTTCACTCAGGAATGGTGAAGGGCATGGTTATTGGTCTTTCTTCTGCTTTCCCCTTGGTTTAAGGCTTGGTCTTTGCAATGAAGAACCCTGTTGAAAAGCTGTAACTCAGAGACAGGCAAACTTACTGAGTCCTGTTGCAGTCTGCTAGGATTCTGCATCATGAATGCCATGTTCACGTGATGACAAAGAAGTTCCCTTAGATAAGAGCTAATGACTCTGAGCAAATGAGTTAATTACTGAGTAAGCAGCACCGTTGGAGGAGAAATGGGAAACTCTGACGCCTAGTGGTCATCAGGAAGGGCCAGCTACTAATCACACAGGATTCTAAGGAAACTGTCTAAAGAGCATTCCTGAATCTTAGGTCTAGAAGGGGCTTGAAGAGAAACATTTCCAGGTTTAAAAAAAAAAATGTTTTAAGGCACCAGATCTGAGATCCTGTCTGCACCCTGTCTGTGGTCTACATGGTGGGGTTGGTTGAGTTTGTGGTGCCAGAAAAATATAAACTCATTAAAGAAAAATTAGAGTTTATAGCCTTATATTGGCAGGATGGCATCATGTCAAGTTGCAGACACCATCCTCCAGCTCAAAGAAGGACTGAAGAGAGATAACTCTGGGTTCAATAATTACATACTTTCCTTCCATGGCCGGGTGTGGCAGCTCATGCCTGTAATCCCAGCACTTTGGGAAGCCGAGGTGGGAGGATCGCCTGAGATCAGGAGTTTGAGACCAGCCTGACTAACATGGCAAAACCCTGTGTCTACTAGAAATAAAAAAATTAGCTGGGCATGGTGGCACATCCCTGTAATCCCAGCTACTCAGGAGGCTGAGGCAGGAGAATTGCTTGAACCCACAAAGTGGAGGTTGCAGTGAGCCAAGATCATGCCACTGCACTCTAGCCTGGGTGACTGAGTGAGACACCATCTAAAAAAAATTAAAGAATTATACTCCTTCCTTTCTTAATTGTCTTTACAAAAGGCAGATTTGGATTAAGTGATTTCAGTGGGTCTCTCTAGTTTCAAAACATTAAGATTTTTAACAGATGGATCTGTAAGCACCTTAGTGAGTAATTGAATTACTTACAGCAAGACATTGAATCTCTCTATGCCTTGGTCCATGCAAAAGTGAAAAGTAATTTGATTCTCTTAAAACCTTCTGAGGGGTGTGGTGCCTCACACCTGTAATCCCAGCACTTTGGGAGGCTGAGGCAGGGGAATTACCTGAAGCCCAGAGTTCAAGACCAGCATGCACAACCAATCTCTACAAAAAATTCGCTGGGCATGGTGGGGTACGCCTGTAGTCCCAGGTACTCAGTAGGCTGAGACAGGAGGATTTCTTGGACCCAGGAGGTTGAGTCTTCAGTGAGCCATGATTACATCACTGCCCTCCAGCCAGAGTGACAGAGTGAGATTCTAACTCAAAGAAAAAAAAGTTTCTGGAAGTTAATTTAGTTACAGTTAACAAAGCAGTTTGAAAGTGGAAAAACTCTTTGATTCAGAATCTAGGAATTACCTCCTAAGAAAATAAACATCAGGTCCAAGATTTATAGATAAATTGTTTATTTTAAAATCATTTGAAAACAATCTAAGTGTCCATCAATAGGGAATTGGTGAAATAAATTACCTCTATACAATGAAATACTATAAAAGAAAGTAATTTTAAAATGTTAAAGTGTGTCTATATGTTTTAACATATTTTAACATGCTGAGAATATCTTGAATGAAAAGCAGGATACAAAGATAAGATTTTGGGGGCAATATGTGTTTATATATAT